GATTTCCATATCGTGCGAGTCCGGGACCTGGAAGCGTCTGGTCCCGTTAAGGTTTTAATCTCGGGTCCCGTTCCTGTTCCCTGTCCGCCGGTTCCGACCCGGCTTTCGTGGTTTTAATTCCCTTCTTTTGATGGATCTCCTGGTTTTGGACTTACTTACTCCAGTGTTTTTGGATACTCTAAGGATTACTCTCTGGGATTGTTCGCCTCGGCCACACCCCGTGCACCAGCGCACCTTGGACACGCCCCCCTGTCTTCAGCCCCGTTTTCCTGCATGACGTTTCCCCAGTGTTTCCCCACTCCGTCGGACTGTGTCGTCCGCATAGGGTCCGGAAAGAACTGTTCGTTACAAGTCCTGGATGAATGTGATCGAGCTAATGTCACAGTAACACATAAATGTGACACATGTCTGTCTGCAACGCAGAGTACTAGAAAAGGTGGGCAGAGCGTGATGTTCAGCCAGGGAGCTTTCATGCACAGGCAAATGGAAGTGCGAGATTAGAATTTGACCTCCACCTGAACTTCTGTTCAAAAATACTATTGATCATATTGTCTTACTCTCTATCCCATGCAATTATAAGTGGTAGGGTACTGAACCTACCAAGATAAAAAAAAAATAGAAAAGTAATTAAATTCCATACAAACTATATTTCTTTATATTATTGAATATTTGCTCTTGATTTCTAAGTTCTATGGTGCCAGTGGAGGCTTGGAGTTCTGTTGCTGACATAGTCTATAGCAGGGATAGGCAATCTAGGGCACACATGCAGTCAAAGGGATTTTTAATGGCACTTGCAATTTAAGTGGTACATGCAATAAAAGTCTAATAAGCCACAAATAAATTAAATTAAAACAAAACTGTGCTTGCCTGTTCTGTAATTTTCTACAACATAAGACTCAATGAAAGCTCTTTGGTGTAGAAAAAAAAATATTCACTCAGTTTATTTTATATGTTTTCATAGGAAAGCCCGCAATCCACTTAACTGATAATATTTTTTACACTGAAGTGTAAAATCAAACATTTTGGACTAAAGGGCAGTTTCTACAAAAGCAGAGTTAAATGTTCACTCATTTCAGCCCTTTTCATGATCATATTTTTTGTGCTCTATGCTGTAAGAGCATTCTCTGTCATACATCGTGTCCAACATTTTCAGGTGAAACATGACAAACATTTCAAGGATGAGGTGGACAAGGCTATCAAACAGGCCATAGCAAAGTACGGAACACAAATCAGGGTCTTTGACAATTTCTGTGTAAGTAAAAATCAAGCCACAGAAGCAAGTTACAAAATCACATAATCTGTTGTGTATCACAAAAGGCCATTAATATATGGGAAATATATATAAAAAGGGCTTTTCTTAGATGTTCACTTGTTTTGTCTTAATGGTTTGCCCAACACAGACCCAAAGAACATGATGATCTCTAGAATGAAGGACATACCTTTGTCTGCAAGATTGGTGTAGAGATGCATAAGTGAAACAGCCAAAAATGTTAACAAACAACAGACATTGAAATTAAAAGATATAAAAGTATTTAGTGTTTTGCTTCATGAGTGCATGGATATAAACAACAATGAGCAATTCTTGTGAGATACTTTGACTCGTGATTTCGAGAAAAGCTCTGATGCCCAAAACCAATTCATGTTGTAACCAATTCTGTTACAACTGATGGCATCTCTGCTATGTTGGTGTAGCGGCGAGGCTTATTAATAAGAAAGAATTAAGTGTTCTGAGCCTTCCCAAATGAGGCCCCATTTCTCTGTTCATCTCTGTGGTGCAGCCACAG